ATCTCTCTCTACCCAGCCAGAGATTTTGAGGATTTCTTTTTAATTTTTTGGAGTATTTGCCGATTTTTTGATTTGCTGATTTATTTTTTTTTTTATTTGCTAATTTGTTGGCTTTTTTTTTTTTGTTGATTTTTTTTATTTGTTGATTTTTTTTATTTGTTGATTTTTTTAATTTGTTCATTTTTTTGATTGGTCCATTTTTTGATTTGTTCAAAATCCAAAAAATGTTTTTTATTTGCTAATTTTTAATTTTTTTTAAATTTTTTTTTCTTTTTTAATTTTTTCTCTGCCCTATTTGGTTTCTTGACTTCCTTTTGAATATTTTTTTTTTTGCACAAGGAGGCGGGGAGGAAGAGGAGGAAGGTTAAAAATCCCACTGGGTGTGAACACTGAGATTTTTGGGTAAAAAATAGAATTTTTTTTACTCTCGGCGAAGGGGAAAAGACCATATTCTGGCTCCCAAGCCCCAGAGATGGAGTGACCCTGACTCGGATCGATTTCACGACCCAGAATATCTCAGTTGAGGTGAAGAACGAAGCCCGCGGAGATGGAATAATGGTGTAGAACCCCGAAATTTAAAAAATAATTTTAATTAACGGCGCATTTCAGAGGAGTTTACAGCCGGAATCGGGGAGGAAGCAACATTCCCCTCCTGAGGAACAGTTCAAAAAATTTTAAAAAAATTATATAATTTTATTCCACATGGAGAATTTTGGATGTTTCTAACCCAAAATGACGTGGGGAAGAGCCCGACCTCCCGTTTGGCCATCAAGGCTCTTCCCAACGACGCTTTTGAGGAGCATCACCCAAGACGTGGGGCTCGGTGTTCCCCACGATGGGGAGATGATGGCACTCAAAGTGGTGCAAAATGAGGGAAAAAAAAAAAAAAAATATTTTTTTTGGACCTGGAGCGCGTTGCTCCCCTGGGTTCCCCCCGTGAAGATGCTGAAGGTGTTTCTCCTGCAGGTTCCAGCCTGGAGATGAAGCCGGAGACGCGTGTGGTTTGGCGGGTGACCACGGCCGGGCTCTTCGTGGCTCTGCTCGTCACCGCCGTCACTTTTGCGGGTGAGTAGCGAGGTTTTCGAAATATCTCGGAGATATTTCGGGTGGTTGCCCACGTGCCCGATCCACCTCCAACGCTCTCAGGGAAGACACGAGCCCAACCTCCGGATGTTGTCCTCTCCAGGAGGAAGGACCTTCCGATGAGCGGAGGAGCTTTTCTGCAGAAAACCCAAATTTATTTCCTCTGCGGAGGAGGAGAAACCCTTCCAAAAAACCAACGGAAAGAATCATTTCATGGGTCCAGTCGGGGAAGAAGGGGCCATTTCCCTGCAGCACCAGACGTCGGCATGAGTCCCACCAACCCTAGAAGTCTACAGGAACATTCATTTTTCTTTTTTTTCCTCTCCTTTACCCATCGCTACATTTTAATTAACGATAACGATCCCTAAGGGCGCTTGTAGGCTCCGAAAATCCTCTTCAAACTCCCATCTTCCGAGGCCACCACCTTTTTTTTTTTTTTTTTTTTTTTTTTTTCCCAATCCCCATGTTCTTCATCCAACGCCACAAGCCGGGAGCTTGTTTTCTCCATCCCACCCATCCCAAAATTTCCTTTCGGTGTCTTAATTTTTTTTTTTAATTTCCTCCCACCCTCGAGGCAGAACCAAGATTTTAGGAGACCACGAGGTGGAAGATGACTTTCCCACCGGGGGAAGGTGCTGCTCTGTAACGCTGTTGCTCTCTCGATGACAGTTCAAGCTTTTCAACCCCGACCCCAACCCTGCTTTCGGTGTCCCTTCGACTGGATCGGCTACAGAGGAAAATGTTATTATTTTTCCGAGGCGGAAAGGAACTGGACATCCAGTCGGGATAACTGCTCGGCGCTCGGCGCTTCCTTGGCCGTGCTCGACGGCGTTGAGGATTTGGTAAGGAGATGTGAGGACATAGCATGGGAGAGGGGGAAAAAAAAAAAAAAAATCCACCGATGTATTTGCCACTTTTTGGGTTCTTTGATGGCTTTTCCAGGATTTTCGTTGGAGATCTGGGGTGAGGAGGTGGGCAAAATTTTTTTTTTTTTTTTTTTTTTTGAGTTTAGGTCATAAATGGGGCTCCTCAAATTTCTCACCGAAGCCAACCGTAGAAAAAAAAAATAAAAATAAAAAATCTCTACGCAATAATTACGCTTTTTGGTAGCGGATTGAAAGGTTCAAGCACCAAAGGAGCCCTCAAGGAGCACGAACGACTGGTAAAAATGTCGATTATTGGTTGAAAGGATGTTTCTGCAGGTGGTGACCTGCCGGAGATGTCCCAAAGCCCCGTGAGCTGGTGTAAAATCTTTTTCTCTGGTTTTTTTTTTCCAGACCTTCGTGATGAGATACAACGGGATCGCGGAGCATTGGGTCGGCCTTTCGCGGGAAGACGAGGAGCAACCGTGGACGTGGGTGAACCACTCGCGTTTATCTCACCCGTGAGAAACGCTGTTTCTTAGAT